GAGAAAGGGGTCTGACTTGGTGGGTCTGACGCAGGGAGAACCTGGACTGTGCCCAGAGGAAAGGGGGAGATGGAGCAGGACAATCATATGGGAGAACAATGACGCCTGCTGGGTTTGCCCCTTGCCTTACTGAGGTCCTTCCTCCGCTGGGCTGTCGTCGAGAGGAGCACCATTGCTAACTCCACTGAAGCTTAGCAGCTGGAGAATTTTCAGAAAACAAACCGAGATTCCCAAAACACTACAGTATAAAAGAAAACAACGCTGGTTAAATCCTCAATTTCTCCGATCAACTAATTTCAGTGATGGAATAAGCACACTCTAAATAATGAGAGACTTCTACTTTGTCATCTTTATGATTACCATACCATTTTGTTCGCCTCCATTTCTTAAGAAAATTATTTCCATCAATAAGCAGAAAGACTTGCCCTGGCTGGTGTTGATGGATGGTTAGAGCATCAGCCCCTGCACTGAAGGGGCTCGGGTTTGATTCCGGGACAAGGGCATGTACCTGGGTTGCTGGTCCATCCCCACCATGGTCAGGGCACTTACGGGACACCCCTCCCCCCGTTCTCCCCCCCCCCGCCCCCCGCTGCCCCTTTCCTTCCATTCTATCTAAAAGCAATGGAAACATATCCTCGGGTGAGATTAACCAAAAATAAATAAATAAACAGAAAGACTGGGATTTCTGATACTAAGAAGTGCCCTAGAGAAGCAGATCTGATGCAAATCAATGCCTGCAGTTCACTCTGGCCCTTGCCATGTCACCTTTGGCGCCTAAATTTCCAAGGCCACCCCAGTGCTCGGCATCCGATAACAGAGACTCAGCAGCCTCATCGCCTCTCACAGGGTCTCGCTCGGTTCCAGCTGCCCTAGGAGAGCAGGGTTGCCTATTCATCTATTTGAGGTGCTCCCCCGAGGCCTCCTCCAAAGTGAATTTCATTTATGCCATACAGTCTGCATTTCAGTCAGACCATCATACATATGCCTCTAGTCTTGTTGAAAATCCTAGAGTTTCTGTAAATCCAGTACACATACTCTTGTGTGTGTACACATGTGTGAATTCATACATATAATTTCAACTTTTTATTATGGGGGACGATAGGGAGTGGTTGGGTATATGAATCATTGCCCCCAATAGGTCACTCCAATCACCAAATCGCTTCTTGCTGGCATTAGGGGCCTTGTGATAGCAGTCCCAAATATGAAATGCAAAATGCTCTCCTTAGGCTAACGGTAAATATAATTTTCATTCCTAGAAATAAAACCCAGAGTGGTGGTTTATTATGGTAAAAGGAGGCCTCAAACAGAAGCCTCTGGACGGGCTAGCGCATGTCCTACTGGCCAGCATGGTAACCAACTGCAATTCCATCGCCAAGGCTCAAGCTCCGCCCTCCCTGTCAAGAGAAGATTCTAAGCAGACACCGGACAGTTTCCTGGGGCCCTGAGAAGAGCACAGTCTCAGCAGACAAGTCAAAGTCACCCCTCCCCCATCTAAGATTCTGCTACTGAGCAGCCTCAGACAGAGGACCTGGAAAAAGAAAGCTGGATGGATAGGGCAATGTTTACCCTTTGCAGCCAATGACCCAGAAACAGGAAAAGGACAGGGAATGTAAATAGCCCGTCAACAAGGGCACTAAGGATTGAATTTTGCAAACATAAGCGCTAAATCCTTTGGTATGAAAAGCACAAGGCGGGAGAAGGGACATGGCGCCTTTCTTCTGCTCTGAGTTGCCACATCCGCTCAGTGCGGGGCCAGATTAGGCTGTTGGATCCACCAAAGGGCTGCGGGGCCAGGAAAAAACGCTAAGAGCCTTCCCGCCGCGCAGCTAATCACTGACAAAGCTCAAGACCGGCTTCCACAGCCGGTGGCCTCGGAGTCTCTCTGGAAAGATGGTGGCAGCCAGGAAAGAGGGCCTCTGATGAGCTCGGGCTTTGGCTAGCTCTGATTCCTCAAAGATCCCCAGCTGGGATGGCAAATGCCGGCTCCCCAGGCTAGGCTGCCCCTGGGAACCTGCTCTCCAGGTTGGTTGCATGCAGCCCCTTGTGTGATTTGAGGACAGAAAACAGTTTTCCAGAGCAGCACTGGTCTAAATCCCGGCCCCGGCCTAATCCCATGTACGTAATAGAAATCCGGCTGGAAACATGGGTTACTCCAGGGGAGGCCTCCCTCTCCATCCCTCCCTGGAGACAACATCCCTAATCTGGCAACACACCTTCCCTGACAACTACCTCAATGGACCGAGGTAGGGAAGGGATGTCGGCCACCCCCCAGGAAGGTCAGACTCCCTTAGAAGAAGGGGGTCAGTGGACACATCCCTGCACCACGTACTTACCAGGAGCCGTACTTAAATGACTTCTGCTACGAAGCTGCTTTGAAAAGCCCTGTAACCCAATTCCACCTCTGGAAGCTGGTGTGAGCTCCCCACACCCCATCAACACAATGGTGTGTGATTTAAACTGTCTTACATTCTGTTAGCCCTTTAGCAGACCTGGAAACAAAAAAGTCTTAATCCCACCTACCATAAAACTGCCATAATTTGAGGGCTATTTAACATATTGATTTCCCGAGAAGGAGCAGGTATTGTCGCACATTATGCATCACCCCCACAAACGTTTCTCTACGTGAATGCAAATTGGCCTCTAAAGAGTGTGTCTAATGTGTTGAATAAAGATTCCTAAGACCATTATTGAAGCGACAAAGTCCTTCTTAAGAAATAATTCATGCTCTCCTAACTTACTCTTTTTCCTATGTTTGTATAAGTATGAAAGTCAACAGATTCATTTTCTTATCATTGCAATCACTTTGGAAGAAAAAAAAAGAGTATTAACCAGGAACTTCCAAAAGGGTTCCAGAGCCACATTGAGTCAAGACCGGCCAGGTCCCCTAATGCCCCCCCCCCCCCCGCTCCCGGGGGGAGACGGGGAGAGGGGGTCCACTTAAGCCTTGACAAATACATCGGATGGTGGACTCCCCCGCACTGCCCACAAGAATCATCAACCTGCCTTTCATGAATAGATGTTGGCTGTTACCCTGAGCAGAGCTAACAAAGGCAGCACAGGTCCATCCCCGTCCTCCCCCCTCCCCCCCTCCGGACTTCAAATCTGGGTTTGTGGGTGCTCTGGACAATAAATGGCTAAGTACCAATTTAGGTATCACTGAAGGTCCCCCAATGCAAATTCCAGATAAGGCAGATAATAAGATTTTCAAGTCAAAGTATTTCCAACACTTCCTCCAAATTCAGTGAAAATCTCCTTGGTGGTTTCCTCTCAATAGGAAATAGATATTTTGTTTTATTTCAATATAGATATTGTCTAACTCAGCGGTTCTCAACCTGTGGGTCGCAATCCCTTTGGGGGTCGAATGACCCTTTCACAGGGGTCACCTAAGACCATCGGAAAACATATACAATTACATATTGTTTTTGTGATTAATCACTATGCTTTAATTATGTTCAATTTGTAACAATGAAAATACATCCTGCATATCAGATATTTACATTACGATTCATAACAGTAGCAAAATTACAGTTATGAAGTAGCAACGAAAATAATTTTATGGTTGGGGGTCACCACAACATGAGGAACTGTATTAAAGGGTCACGGCATTAGGAAGGTTGAGAACCACTGGTCTAACTGGTAAACTTTATAAGATCTCTCCTTCCTGTTCCTAATGGCCAATGCATAATTCTTTTGTTTTTGTTGTTGTTTGTTTTTGTTAATCCTCGCCCAAGGTTATTTTTTCCATTCATTTTGAGAGTGGAAGGTAGGGAAGGAGGAAGTTGGGAGAAAGGGAGAGGGAGAGAGAAAGAGAGAAAGAGAAACATAGATGAGAGAGCCATGGATTGGTTGCCTCCTGCACACGCCCTGAACAGGGCAAGGGATCGAACCTGCAACCCAGGTGTATGTTCTTGACCAGGAATCAAACCCTAGACCCTTCAGATTGAGGGCCGGCACTCTAACCACTGAACACACCAACCAGGGCCACAATTCATTTTTGATTCGTTGGTTTGGGGGATTTCTTTATTGAATTTCCTGAGTTGATATGCATATATTATAACAAAGTCAAAGGTACAAGAGCATGGACAGTGAAAACTACATCTTCGCTCACCTCTTCCTGAAACCTCCCAATGCAGCACTATTACCACGATGGCAGTGACACTCCTGGACATGGCCCAGAAGAAGGTGGCCTACTCTAGATACTGTTGTGCTCCTTGCTTTTCCCCTAATAAACAAGATATAGATACCCAGGGACATATGCGTGCAGAGAGAACTAGGCACATGTATCAGTTCAGACAGAGTTGTTTCGCTTATACACTGTATTTAACAAATGTACACACGCCATTACTTAGCATATTGTCACTTATTACAACAACCCTGTTCATGGGCCACGGGGTTGTTTCCGAGCCTTCCCAAATCCCAACACTGCTGTGATGGATAACCCTGACACAGGTCATCTGTAGGATGCACATCTGGGGGCAGAGCTGCAGGATCAAAGGGCATGTGTGTGTGATTGTGAGGGAGTAGCCTGAGATTTCATAGAAGCTGCAACAACTTCAAATCCCAATTCCCCCCAGTCTTACCAACGATTTACAGCACAGGCCAATTTGTAAAGGCCCTTACCCTTGGCACCTTGAACAATGAGGCATCAGGGGGCTGGAGTGGGCCCAGTACCCCCCGCTCCCCCCTCTGCCCTGTGGTGGCATGCAATTAAGATCGCGGGCTTGGTGGGCAGAAGAGCTGCCCCAACTCTGCCACTCCTGAGTTCAGTGACCCTGCAGAGTCCTCACATCTAAGGTCCCTAAGCTCAGTTTTCTCATCCATAAAGTGGACTGCATGCATGCCTTCTTCTACTGACAAAATACAAGCGCCCCCTCCCCTCAGCGGCCAGTACCGTGTTCAGTCCCTTCCAAGGAAGCTCAGGCCGCGCTGGGGAGAGGCCCTCACTTCATCCAGCAACTAGCAATGCTCCCAGCAGTGCCGGCCCAGCACTCACCCACACCATGGCCTCTGCCTCAGAGCTCACCTGCATCTACTGGGCACACTGACTGTGACGAAGTGACGGTGACAGAGGATAATATCAATGCCCTTATTAAAGCTGCTGGTGTAAATGCTGAACTTTTCTGGCCAGGCTTGTTCGCAAAGGCTCTGGCCAATGTCAACATCAGGAGCCTCATCTGCAATGTAGGGGCTGGTGGGCCTGCTCCAGCAGCAGGTGCAGCCCCAACAGGAGGTCCTGCCCCTCCATCCTGTGCCCCAGCTGAGGAGAGGGCAGTGGAAGGGAAGAAAGAAGAATCGGATGATGACATGGGCTTTGGTCTTTTTGAATAAACCTCTTTTGTAACATATTCAATAAAAAGCTGAACTTTAAGAAATAAAAAAATACAAGCTACTCCCTCCCCATGCAGGAACGCAGGAAAGAGTAACTGAGATATCCACAATGTACTTCCTGTGAATGCTTAAGCAAATGTTCACCATGACTGCATTCCCACTCGCAATGCTTTCCAAGGCCAAAGGAGAGATCACAGCAAGGAGACACCCGATTCCCTGTATGCCAGGCTGCCACGAAATGCCCTCCTCTGGCCCACTGGCGTGCTGGCAGCCAATTAAAGTGTACACACTTTTTATTACAGTTGATGATAAAACACCACGAAGGAAATAAACAAGATGGAAAATAAGACAGGACAGAGGTCCCCATTTAGATGCTAGAGGAGCCTGGCTGGGAGGTGGAGAGTATCACTCAGATCTTGATGCTCAGCTGCAAGGAACCTTCAGGATCCCACCAGCTTTGGGGTCAAGGCGATGCTCTTTGCAAACAGCCCCCAGACAAGGGCTGCAAACGGTTGTGGGGGCCTGGGGCCTGGCCATTCCTGCCCAAAGCTAAAAGTGGGCAACCTTTGCTCTGCAGCTTCCCACTGTCTTGGCTGAGACCGAGTCAGAGCTGCAGGGTGTCTGAGGTTCCCATGTCCAGTCCTGCCTCTTCCCCCTTACCTGTCACAGGCCTCAACCCTCAAGCTCCGTGCACTGCTAATTCAGCGTCTGTATCCCTGAACTGATAGGCAGGGTACCCTGTTGGGATCATCAAGGGCATCCCTAACCCTAACCAACTCCATCACCTCCCTCATCAGACTTTCCTTTCTAAACTCACTAACCTGCCCGCCACAAGAGGGATTAGTGAGCCTTCATCTGCCAACCTCCGATAATTCCAAATTCTCAATTAATAAAGGCGGGACTGTCCTAAACAGTCCTCAGGACTGTTACCTTACAGGGTAGGTAGGTACTCTTGTACTTAAGAGAAAAAAGGAGAAAGTGTGGTGGGGGGGGGGGGGGGGGGGGGGCGGCAGGGGTGTCGTCGCCAAGAGACTAGACTTAAGTAAAATAATTGGTCCCACGGTCAGTCAATGCCAGGGACAGGACTCACCCAGGTGTCTCTGTTATCATAAACTGGTGTTCCCCACGCTATACTGATGCTTTTTAAATCTGGTTCCCAAAGTCAACTACCCCAGGAACCCTTCTCCCCTAAATGACAAAATGTAAATCTCCTAGTCCCTTGGAAGAGCAGAAGCAGCTTTAGTCTGTGTGCACTGGCTGCTTTGGGAACTGCTAGGTGATTGCACGTGGCCCATTTTGGCTCCCAATCGGAGCTGTGAAGACCAGGAGCAGAGGCCACCACTTCCTTCCACAACTTCTGTGCGTCCCACCGCAGCCCTCGGGGTGAGACTTCCCGCAGGAGCAGCCACAGCAGGTTACAGAACCTGTCACGCCCATGCTTCTCCCAGCATCACTGGTGTGTGGCAAATGCTGGCTCGGAGAAAACCCACATAAAAATGACTGTGTTTCTGAAGGGCCTTAAACGCTCAAACAAGGCACCCAAAGGAAAAAAATTAAAGTAAATGTGCACTCACTTTGAAAGATGGGCCAAAACCGGTTTGGCTCGGTGGATAGAGCGTCGGCCTGCGGACTAAAAGGTCCCAGGTTCGATTCCGGTCAAGGGCATGTACCTGGGTTGCGGGCACATCCCCAGTGGGAGATGTGCAGGAGGCGGCTGATCGATGTTTCTCTCTCATTGATGTTTCTAACTCTCTATCTCGCTCCCTTCCTCTCTGTAAAAAATCAATAAAATATATTTAAAAAAAAAAAAAGAAAGATGAGCTGACTGTCGATAAGTAAAAAAGAAAAGAAAGAGCAGGCTCTTCCTGAAAGAACACAGAGGCACATCCCAGCACCCAGACAACACTTGCTGCAGAAGGCTGGCTGCAATGCAGGAACAGGGACACAAAACACCTGCCCTCACCACACACACCCCGTGTGAAACAGGGCACCGCTTCTGTCGGGAGAAAGAGATCTTAAAACACAGCAAACATCTCTGGTCACCTCAGGAAACAAGGGAGGAAACGGTGGCAAATGGAGGCACGACCTTCTCGCCGCTGTGTTGTCTCCAGGGAACTGCAAACCAGTGTGCAACTGCGAGGCCACGTGCTGTTCCGCCTGCTGGTACCACGGAGCCGCCTGGGCCACCGATGAAGTTCCACGTTTCTGAATGTTACCAATAGGGCGACACATTCTAATCACAGCCCCAAGATGATAATCACGTAATTTCTACTTGGTGCATAAAGGCTATTATTAAATGCCTAGACTCAAATGGGAAGTCTCCAGTATAACTAAATTTACCGTGTTTTTAAAATGTGGCTTTCCTTGCTCTCCTCCTAATGCCAAACTGTAGCCTCAAATCTTTCTCCCATGTTTTTCCTGAAGGCCTCCAAAATTGAAGGGGGGGCGGGGGGGGGGGGGAATTCATCCAGAGAGGGCTCCGGCTCCCACAGCCCCACAGGGGAGAACTAAATATACCCCACGGCAGAAGGGAACACTGTGTCCTGTGCAGAGGAAAACAATTCAAAGGGGTTTCCAGTTTGGTTTGGCTCCTGAAACCAGGGTTTTAGAAAAGGCCACAAATTCAAAAGTACTCCTGAGACAGCCAAATAACCCAAGGATACAGGCACTGTTAGTGCCATTTGCAAGGGAGAATTTGGATATTTGGTTAACCAAATAGCATGGGAGCCACACATTTCCTAAAAGGGAAAAAAACACATCCTTGACTTGGAATTGAAAATTACAGTTCCGAGGAGAATTGACTACTAATTCCAGGCCAAACCCTAGCAACAGCTGTCACCAGGACTTCATTTACATGTAACCCATTCAGAAACTGTCCTGGGCCTGAGTGACCAAGGCCATTCCTATCCTGCCCCGGCCTTACCCAGGGCTCCAGGATGGAGCCGCTGTCCATCAGCACAGCTGTCCGCGCAGCCACTGTGCTGATCTTTACAGCCTGACTTTTGCAATGCAGACTGCAAAGAGCAATTCAACTTTACGGAATATAAAACCTCATCCATGGCTCCCTAATGACTCACTCTTCAGTCCAGGTGTGACATCCCTGTAATTAGTCAGCCAGACTCCTCGAGCTTTGTTATACCTAAAACCAAGTCCATTTATCTGCCATAGAGGAGCTATTCGTGCCACATGGAAAATTTAGTAAGAAGGACAGAGAGAAAAGTTTTCCACTTGAAGACAATTTGGCTAATAGATCACATATGCTCAGCTTGGCCTTCCTGTTGCCTTTTTCGGGTTTTCAGTTTTATTACCCTGGGGCATTTGCACCAACCAGAATCTTCTTCTTTGCTTAGAAATTCACCCACCCCTGCTGTTCATTCCTCATTGAGTCATAATCCTCCGTTTGTGACATCACAATTAGCCACTTGTGGCGATGATTATAATGTCGTGAACACAGGATTATGAGAGGGCGTTGGAGACGAAACAGCAGGAACACTGACTGCAGGGCAGGAAGTTCCTCTTCTCAACTCCCTGTGCCCAGCCATCAGGAATTGGAGCGTGGGAACAGGGAGTAGGTGGGGGAGGTGCTCTCTAATGGGGAGAAAGAGACCTTTGGGTGGGAAACTAAGAGAACTCCACCAGCAGTTTTACCTGGTTTCACAAAACATTGACTAGCTACGTTTTTCCTCAACAGCCCACTTTTATTATATATATATATAGATAGATAGATAGATAGATAGATAGATAGATAGATAGATAGATAGATAGAATAGTACAAAGATTCCTATTTATTTCACCCATACCCATCACTGGCAACAGCTAGCTGCATGTGCTGTATGATTCTCTAGGTACATACTTTTTCCTCAATATCATGGCCCTTTAACCTCCTTAAGATCAAGGACATTCTCTTACCTACCTATTGGACAAGGATCAAATTCAGGAAACTTAACGTTGCTATAACATAATCTAACTTACAGTCCATATTCAAATTACACCAATTACGCCCCGAATTTCCGTCATTTGTTTTCATTACTAGTTCACTTTACAATAATCAAGAAAACAAAGGCAATATATTTTTTCAACTCTCTTCAATGGTCAACAAAATTACTACTCCAAAATTCAAGATTTTTAAAAATTTAAATCCAGAGTAAGAAAAATCGTAACGGCCGTCATTTATTTGGTGCTCATTATGTTCTCATCAAGCTTCTTACATGAATCATCTCATTCATGCCTCATCAAAACTCCATGGAGTGTGAGTCCCCATCATCCACATTTTCTTAAAAAAAAAGGCATGAAAACCCGTCCCCGGACAATGACGCATTGAAAACGACGTCAAAGGGAAACACACCTCACAGACTTCTCCCTGTGGCAATGCTTCTTTTCTAAGGACCCTGAGTCCAGCTGGTCCTGGCAGGCAGTCTACCACGAATAGACGACCAATATCCAGTCAACCTTCAGGACAAACCGAAAACAGATCAATACTCCCCGTGTGTGACGAGGCACCTGAGAACGCAGATCACAGGGCCACGGCGGAAGGTAGCCCTTCAGCTTTGGATCACTGTGGAATATCCCAACACATGCTTTGTCCCCTGAACAAGCTTTAGGGGTGGCAGTACAGTGGGCAGCTTCCCTGGCGTTATTAACTACCCATCTAACAGATCCAGGAATGCCATTTATCCTAAACACAGAGGGGAGGTTTTAAAAGCAAGAAAAGCAGCTTTTCACGGCCTAAAAGCTTTCCTGGTGGGATGGACCTTAAATCGCCTTTTTCACAGAGACGGAAGTGGCTGACGGGAAGCTTGGCCATCATTGCTTTTTTTTAGGCGAATGTAAATCTGACTCAAAACCAAAGCCATTCGTCTAAACTGGCTATGGAAGGGAACGAAATTCATGACCTAAAAGCCAGGACCACATTTGGAAGTAATTCCTATTCCACTCGTTCCCCATTAAACGCATCCCATGTTGCAGTAGACACATGTCATGTACAGATTTCCATTACCCAC